TGCAATTCACTGTCTGTTTCTTTGACGGCAGTCGAACTTTCCGATAGAAGTTCTTGGTTTACTCGTTCCTCCGTCTCTTTTTCTTCAAAGTCAAGGCATTCTGAATCGTCTGAAAGATACTCTTCGCCACTTGTGTCGGAAAACTCTTCGGAAGAGGACATGTTTCATACCAATAATCTTCGATCACACTATACTTTCAATGCTTCGTGCTTTGGAATGGTGTCCTTTTCTTACGTCACAGCTAAGAAAGTGTCAAATATCGGACGCTTCTCATTGGCTCGTTTCTAATGAGCCCACGAGACAAAAATTTGTCCAGCGGGGCTTAAAGCGCAAAAATTTAAAAATTTCAGTAACTTTTATTTTCGTAAAAAAAAAGGATTCAATATTTCTAAAAAATTTTTTCGAAAATGAGTTCTACACAGATATGGAAATCTATCAAAAAAAAACAAATTGAAGGGTTAGGGGCACTTTAATGGCCCAGCTGTTAGGGCCTGGGTACCGTGTAGACACTATTTGATCCCTGTCTATACACACTGTAGTGTCCTGAAGAGTTTGGCCGGGTATCTGTGCTCGGACTGAGCCAGTGATATCTCCCTGTCCTCGCATGGAGTACCAGATGCATCATGGGATGCGACAGTATTGCAACCACCATATCTAGGTTGAGGAAGGAGCCAACCACCCTAGGTCCGGAGGACCTAAAGGGGCATCGCTTCTCGGCCTTTTGGCTAAGATCAGTGTTACTGTTTCTTACGCCTTTAGGATTGTAGTTTTCAAAGAGTTGTGTTTTTTTGTTTTTAGAGGGCTTGCCCTCTCAAAAATCTTTTCTTGTTTGTAAGCGATTGCCACGTGTTTTCTCGCGAGCAGCACATGCTTTTCGAGTTTTACAAGTTTGAGGATGGCTACGAATACTGGGAATGATCCTTTCCCCGGTGGAATTGTTGTTGATGAATCGCGTGAAGATTTAGTTGCTGTTGATCGCGGGGCCGAGGGCCCCGTTTTACCTGTTCGTTTCAACGAAATCGTCGCTGGAAAAGTTGGGGAATCAGTTGCAAGACCAGAAGATGAGAACCGTTTACCTGGGAGACCGTTAACAGCCTTTTTTTTGCTGCAAATCCGTTTGCCCTCGTGTGATGTGTTGTCCACCCTACACGAAACTGGCCTCGACGGGTCAAGTGTTGCATGTATTCAACTTAAAGCCAGTGGCGAAATTTGGTTAACCTTTCGAAATGCTGAACTCAAAGAACGTTTTGTTTGTTCCAGTGTCCTCAAAGTCAAAGGTGCTCCTTATACTATTCACGCCTCATGAACTGCCCGACTCAGCAATAATGTAACGCCTCACAGATTACTGTGCAGTTGTCACCTACCGACGGGGTTTCTTTCGCAACCCTGGATGGGAAAACGTTCAGGATAGGAGCCGTCACTATCGTGTTCGCATGAAAAAGCCCATTCCTAACTATATGCGCTTTGGCAAAACATTTATTCAGTTTCGTTATGTTGGACAGCCTAAAACGTGCCGCCTTTGTCACTCAGCTTCCATTTCGCCAATGCCTGTCATAGCATTATTTGCTTTAACTGCGAAAAAACCGGCCATCTGGTTAGCGATTGTCCCGCTCCCATTACCTGTAATATCTGCAAAGCTACAAATCATCTGGCACGCAAATGTCCTTTTTCTTGGACCACCATCTCTGAAATTCCTTCTGTCAACGACGCAGGCAACACGCCGCCTGTTCCTTCGACTAACACGCCTATGGACAACAACGACCAATCTTTGAAAATTTTCTCAGTCATCTGTTGGCCCTGCCACTGCTCACCAGTTTGACCAAATGGAAAGTGACGCTAGCATTACTCCGGACGAACATCAACTGACTGACAAAGAACTTTCTACCGTCTCTAAAGATGAAGATGAAAATTTCCAGGATTCCGCCAAACTTTTTGAACCGAGTACGGAAAATATTTCACCTACTCCCACGCCTAACCCTCCTTTACCTAATGGCCGCAAACCCGCTAAGCACATCAACAGTTCAGCACCAACAAGGATCGCAACACAACCTACACTCATTACTGGCAAAGGACGTGAACTTTCAGACAAATCCGACGAAAACACTCCTCTAGCTAAATGCAATCGTTCTCGAAATAGGACAAACAAACACAAGAAACACCGTCCAAAGAAAACTTAATGGACCTGGTATGTTTTGTTTCCTTTAAATCCTGTTATTTGCCAGAGTTCTCTTTTTCCTTTTCCGTATAATTCAGACTAAACTTATCTACTTTAAATGTCCGAGGTTTTGGTGCTGACAGTAAGCAGCAATTTATTTTTGACTTCGCTCGTAATTCTCACACTGAGTTTGTTTTTGTGCAAGAAACGTGTCATAAATTATGTAATTATGACGTCACAATGTGCGCAATGTACGTCTAAGATTCACAAAATAAAGAAAACAGGTATTTTGACCATCGTGATGCTATTTTGTTACAATACTTGTAACATTGGTGCCGAGACCTG